CCCGTTTCCAACATCTAAAAAAAAAGACATGCATCATCTTTCGTTTTACAAAGAAAAGAGTTAGGGAAACTTGTGGTATCAGGTTTTCCACTTATACTACACATTCCAAAATTGTAACAAAAGGAAATACATGAAGGAAACATGAGTTCTTGAAACGAAAGTCCAATTTTACAATGCGACATAAATATAAAACCCACATAAAAGATGTCAACGCGTGGCACAACCCTGAGCGGAGGCTCACTGCTCGGCACGATCTCCGAAAGGTTTGGTGGTGGGGGGGGGGGGGGGGGGGGGGGGGGGGGGGGGGGCACTTTAAAAGGGGTGAGCTGAAATACTCAGTGAGTGGGGAAAAGGGGGAGTTTGCAAAACATTCGTCAAACAAAAGTTATGGCATGCAATGGTTCTTATAAAATACAAAACAACATGATTCCATGAACATCTTTTATGGTGGCAGCTAAACATCCATGTATGCAGCATAACTCATTCCTAATTGTTCTAAGTATATAAATCTGATCAATTAAACTGACAACAATTTCTGATCCTAGCTCATTACTAAATGCTGAAAATTCTTTATGAGAACTTAAAGAATAGCTGTAAATGCTTATGCTTCTAAAGACAATGTTTTCTAAAATCGTGCTACAAACATCAAATGTTTCATATAACTAATGCACCTATCATCAGATACTGAAAACTGAAACTATTAACTGATACTGAAAACTGTAGGCGGTATCTGAAAACTTTAAACTGATATCCGTTCGAAACAGTAAACTGATATTAAAGGTTCTCACCACAACTAGTACCTGGGGAAAAATCTCGATACCTGGTGGGGACCCACACACAGGCAGAGCTGGGAAATACATCTCGATACCCGGCAAGATCTATCATCGCGCGGAAGAGCCTGAAGAAAACTATCTCAATACCTGGCGGACAAACTCAATGCCCAGGCAGAACACTAAATATCTCAAAACGCATGCGCAGAGCCTGAAGACCGAATATCTCAATACCCAGCGAATCCTGCATTGCATGGGCAGAGCCTGAAACTGGGGGATGGGTACTTCGTTATGGTGGTTGTAGCACCACAAATATCCATCATAATCTCAAGTAACATATAAGTCAAGAGCATATTATATAAGTGCTTATAAATCATGCATATATGACATAATATCAAAAATCACATACAAGGGTGAAACTACAATTTTTTAAACATGTTTCAGAACTGACATTTTAACCCAGACTTAAATTTACCACAACATCATATCACCACGCATTAATTCGACACCACATGTGAACAATAATTCCTTTTAATCTGGTCAATAACCAATATTAAGACATTTTCTACAATAACACATACAAAAAATCAAGATGAAGAAGTGATTTTAAATAAGTAAGCCCAAGGAAAGTATAAAGAAATTCATGAAGGCCATGTCCCACAAATTGAACAAGTAAGACAACTCAACCCTTACTTCAACAATTTAATGCAAACTCCATTCACTCTTCAATGACCCATCCATTCCAAACCCAAGTAGCAGTCCACTAAAAAAAAGACCAAAACCAAAACTTTTCTCTACAAGTCTTTTTCCAACTCAAAATCATATTGTCAAAAAGCTTTATCATCATGAGAGTTATATAAATCATTTGCATGACACTCAACATGAAAATTCATTCCCTCTGAATACATTAATAAAATATTACACAAAACTTGTCCAGCTGTGACATGCAAAGGTAAGTTAAACAAGTTTTCACTCCCAAACAAACTTCCAGAATTCAACCGAAACCGCAGCAGTATAAGCCCGCAACCTCCATATAACAGCAAAATATTTGGCAACCAACACATCCTAACACACCAGCCGAACCCACATAAAACAATATGTCACAAAACACATACATGAATAGAAATTTAGCAAAGCCCAAACAAAATCATATCTTGACATGCAAAGGTTAAGTATAAGTTTTTCAAGAAAACAATTTAGATCCACTCACAAAAAATTCAGCTCAACCCGAAATGCTCAGTGCCAAGCACATCCTTTCTTCACCTCACTTTCTCCCTCATTATCTTTTTCTTTCCCTTTTCTCTCGCTTCCCTTTCCTCTCCCGCGCCGAAGTCTCTCTTCCTTCTTCCTTCTTTCTCTCTTCTTTTCCCTTCTCTCTCTTCCTTTCTCTCTTTCTTTTCTTTCTCTCGGTTTTCTTCTCTCAACTTTCTTCTTCTTCTTTGGGCGAGCAGCCCAAATTTAATATAAACAAATTATTTTTTTCTTATAACAGCCCCCAAATTCTCTTAATTCTATTATAACCTGCCACATCATCTTTTCGATATAAAAGCACCCGATTTTTGGCTTGCTCATGCAAACCAACAGTTTCCATTTCTTCGTTTTCACCCCTAAACAAACTTTAAAATGACAGAAAAGTCCCTCCTTATAAACAAAACCAAAGCGAATATATATTAATGAATGGGGTTTTACACCTATGAACACAAATCATCAAAATTCAACACTTTAAAAATTAAAACTCAGTTTTTAGTGTAAGGATCTTACCTAAAGATGCTTGAGATTGAAAATCCACTCAAAAGACCCAAAATCTATGAATTTTCTTTGAAGAAGAATTTAAGAATGAGAGAATATAGAGGTGAAAATGGGTGACGAGTGGTAGGGTTTCACTCTTCAATCTTTGATATAACATAATATTATATATGTTTCTTATTTGCCATTGCACTTTTTTTAAAATTCCATCTATGTCTCTTAGTTAATTACCATATACCCTTATTTATTACATTCTCCATGAAATTCTATCTTTTTTTCACTACTCACAATGTCAACTAATTTTGAGTAAAAAGACCATTTTACTCTTAATGCAAGTTTAAGACATTTTCTCATATTTTCTCAAAAAACTCTAACAAAAATCAACTAAAAGTAGAAGAGTATAAATTAAATTACGTAAATCTATGGGGCGTTACAATGTATGAATTCGGTATGCATTATTCGGTCCCTATATTATTTCCCTTAAAAATATAGAAGCAATTTAAGAATGAAGTGTCAAAGTTTTTTATTTTATTTTATACTTTGATTATGACAACCATTTCGGCATAAAAAGAACAAGAGACAAAAGTAAGTATACCCGACCTCTCTCTTAGTCTCTAAAATAGCTTTTCTTTTATTTATTTATTTCTTTTTCAAACATATTTTCATGTTTTTGGGATATTAATATTCAATTATTTGTAGATATACCTACATATGGGATGTATCTAAAAACTTCCTTGTTAAGGATTAAATCAAATATGCATGATAAAATTTAATCATGAGAAATTTATTACATTTATAGTTGGATAATATTAAATTTTGTTTTTTTTTTTTATGATTGAGGTGTTCGAACGTACCTCAACTAATCATTGAGACTATGAACCGTATAAACCAATATTCAAGGTACATACAAATATGATAGGTGGTCTCAAGGTAATTTGACTTAAGTCAATAAAAATTGAGCATTACAAGATTTTATGTAAAAGTAAGGTTTACCAATGGTATTTTTTTTTTTTTTTATGTTATATTAAATTTAGGGAAGTGATTTTTTACCCCATCCTATTTATAGGATTCCCACTTTAATTTTTTTTTTTTTTTTTTTTTTTTTTTTTTTTTTGGTTTTGCAAGTTTAGCCTTAATGAAAAATTCTAGAGATATATTAACATTAAATTTAAATTCTAATCATTGAACTTTTTTTACTAAAAATTTCTTTGTTTTATGAAATATATTATTAAATTTATGAAGAAAGTTATCACAAAACGGAAATGAAGTGAATTTAAAGAAGAAAACTTAAGTTTACATTCAAAATTGGAAAAAGAAGGTATAAACAAAGTTTGAAATTGAGAAAAGTGGTATAAAAAATCCTAATTAAGTTGAAATTGAAAAACTTAATTAAACCTAATTAAGTAGGCTATTTCCATGTTAAATGGGGTTATATATATATTAACTTTATGAAACAAATTATGCTAAAAAAAATCAAAATTTTAATTACTTGATCAAATAATCTATTTTAATAAACTTTTTTAAAAGAGTATACCAAACAAAGGCATGAAAATGGGACAACCTTTTTTCACATAACTAATCCTTACTTTATGACGCCAAATCTCCAATATATCACGAAAATCTCATCAAATTTTCATTAAAAAAAAAACCATTTTTTTTTTGTAATTTCAACTTAAGAAAATCTTTTAACATTTATTTACAAATGATTATAATTTATTGATAATAGTTATATATTTGTAAAAGATGTATGTCAATAAATTTAATTTTCATAAGCTCTACTAAAAGAAGTTATATCAAAATGGTTCCCGAATACTTGAAAATATTCAGATATACCATATATATATAGTATTTCAATTAAGCCTGATGAGTTTTACTATTATTAAGAAAGTTTTTACTTCAACTCACTCTATTTTCTACTCTTCAACTATTACTTATTGTCCTAACTGAATTTTGGATTAGCTTTCTTAATTATATTGAATAGTATTTACTTACTCTTTCGTTTAAATTTGAAACAAATTAATCCGCTATATGGGATTAGTCAATATTACATAGTTGACCAACTAATAAAAGACAAAACTTGAATTAAACTAGTTTAAAAAAATTGGAACATTTTTCTGAAAGAAATTCTCATAAAAAATAAACCCATTTGACAATTTGGTAGCATACTGGCAAAGACCAAATTTGTCACTAATGTAAAAAAGAAAAAAGTTTGGCCATTATTTACAAGCAAAGCATATAAACCCACAAGAATAATATAAAGTGCTCTCAAATTGCAACAAAAGAGGATAAGAATGAAGCATTTGTTTTAGTTATTGGTGTGGTGGGTGTTGTTGTCACATGCCATGTCCTACATTACAACAACAAAATACATAAATAAATAAATAACAAGATTTGAGTTTATTATAATTAAAATGAAAAAGTAAAAAAAAAAAAAAAACTACATATATAAATAAGTTTATGTTTTGATAGATACACATTTTTAGGTCTCTCTTTCATTTTTGGGACTTTCTCTCTCCTCTGTCTTTCTCTTTCTCTCTCCTCTCTCTTATCTCTAATTCTTAATCTCTCTCTCTCTTTTTCTCAGGTTTCTCTCTCCTCTCTCTTTCTTTCTCTTTCTCTTTCTCTTTCTCTCTCCAGAAGGGCAAAACCCTAAAGAGCCGTTTACACCCCCTAAGTAAGTTTTCTCTCTCTTTCTTTCTCTTTCTTTCTCTCTCTCCTCTCTCTCTCTTTCTATATTTTGAATATATGGGTCCTTGTCCTATTAAAACTGCCTTATATACTTATTTTTCTGTTTTTTCGTTTTTGTAATGTTACCTTTTGGTATGAATCGGCTGAGATCTATGATTCTTAGTCATGGATTTGGACGGGATTTTATTTTTGTGTTATAGATGTCATTTTTATGTCTATAGATTGTAGATCTACTCATCGGTTTCCATGTGGGTTCTGTTTGGTTTCTACGAAATGTTGGAAAATGTGGGAAAATTTGAAATAATTTGGATCTGAAAGGTTGCATTTTTTGTGGGTATTTTAATAAAGTTTGGTTTTTGTTCATTCTGGATCTTAAAATTCTTGTTTTGTTTCAGATCCAAGGAAATGGAAATCTTAACCCAGCATAAAATGGACTTATTTGGGTTAACATTTTGGTTTTTACTTCGAAACTCAGCTATACATGTGATTGAAAATTGTTTTATTTGGCAGATCTTTATTGTTTTCTTAATGTTATATTTTACTGGATCTGTGTCTGAGAAACATTTCTTACTATGCTTCCCTTTATTTATCAGCATTATGTTTGGTAACTTAGCTTTGAAGCCTTTGCTTTATTTATATATGTTATGTTTACTTAGTTTCAAAATTTTTTTCCACTGTTGTGAGATTATAGCTGATATTTGATTTATAAACCTTTTGTTTTGGCTCAAAATATGTAGTTGTCATGGATGATGATGCTTTGAACATGCGCAATTGGGGTTACTATGAACCGTCCTTTAAAGGGCATCTCGGTCTGCAGCTCATGTCAAGCATGGGAGACCGAGACACCAAGGCTTTTCTACCCGGTCGCGATCCAAATTTTATGGTTACAGCCAATGGTGCCTTTCATCCTCGGGATTGTGTGGTTTCGGAGACATCGATTCCTATGAATTATGTGAGGGACAGTTGGATAAACCAGAGGGATAAGTTTCTGAACATGTTACCTCCGAATCCTAATTATGGGATTCTTCCGGAGACTTCAGGGGCTCACTCCTTGCAAATGTTACAGCCCCCGCCACCACCTCCACCACCGGCGGTGGCACCAACTACATCAAGAGATGACAGAGTGGTGGCTAGGGTTGAAGAGCCAGTTGTCAAAAATGAAGGTCCTCAAATAAAGAAAAGGCAGGGCGGGTGTGCCCCCAAGACCCCGAAAGCTAAGAAGGCTAGGAAGCCCAAGGAGAATAATGGTGCTACAGTTCAACGTGTGAAACCAGCTAAGAAGAGTATGGATGTTGTAATCAATGGGATTGATATGGACATATCGGGTATTCCAATTCCAGTTTGCTCATGTACTGGAGCTCCCCAGCAATGTTATCGCTGGGGCTGTGGCGGTTGGCAATCCGCTTGTTGTACTACGAATGTATCAATGTATCCTTTGCCAATGAGCACCAAAAGGCGTGGTGCAAGGATAGCTGGACGGAAGATGAGTCAGGGTGCGTTTAAGAAGGTATTGGAGAAACTTGCGGCAGAAGGTTATAATTTTGCTAACCCAATTGATTTGAGGACTCACTGGGCTAGACATGGTACCAACAAGTTCGTGACTATCAGATAGATGTACGTCGTTGGTATCGGTAACAGGACTCCCATGGCATTTGGTCTGTGTCACCTGTATATATATCTGTGGCCTTTTGCGGAGACTTGTTGGGTACTTTGTAGTCCATGAATTTTCCTTCATGATACATGTTTTTGAAATTCAGACATCTGAGATCTTTTTAGAATTGTTGTCTAGTTTTCTTTATGCTTTGTTATAAGGGCAAACTGTAATTTCTAGTCACCAGGAATTAGGATGTGGATGAGTTTTCATTTACTGGATTCTGGATAACGTCTTTTACCCTTTTATTTAATCTTGTCAAATCAGTAATCTTCTTTTTCCATCTTTTGATGTACTGACATGCAATGATACTTTGTTTACTTCTTCTTTAGCAATAGCAACTGACAGATTTAAGTAGGCAGGACTTTAATTTGATGTAGCATTTCTATTATTGTTGCTTCAATGCAAGATGATATTGTTAATATCAATGAAATTTTCTGCTTTTTTATTTGAAAAAAATTGTCATTGTTAAGTTCCAACCTCTTTTCTTTTAAATATATATACTGCAACTGATGGATTTATATCTTGTGAGTGATACTTAATGACAGTCACAGCCCATGGTCTGGAATTGTTATCTCTTTTTATTCTGCTTTGATTAGTCTGTCTATTTTGAGGAATTCTGGTGATATTTATTGACTAAATACCTTCGTATATGCAATATATGTTGCTTGTCTTCTTGTATTCGCTTGTATGGAAAATTATAAAGTTTATTGAAGCCATGACTTAATGAGTTTTAAAGCAGCAGCCTTAATAGAAATGAATGCAATTGAAAATGCAAAATGACTATCATAGTATCGGACGGGAAATTGAGGTCATTGGTTCCTCATGATTTCCTTTGTTTCTCCTTTACGTTCTGAGTAATGGATATTAAGGTGAACATATTCCTTTTGCTTACCAACTTATATGCTTTCTTCTATGAATTTCTGATAGTGCAAATACTTTATTAATTTTCTTTAGTGGCTGCTGAATTTTAAATATCTAGGTCACTGATAACCTACATTCAAATTATATTATACTTTAGGCTATATGATTCATATGAGGAGAACTTTAATCAATTTTACCTTGGATTTTATGAAGTTTTAGGAGAATATAGGAAATAAATGTTGTATGAAATGTTTTGTTTTATCTATATGTAATGTTCTGAAACTGGTAATGAAGGTGAATGTTTGTTTCAAACTTTCAATTGTACTTCAGCTTGTATGAAGATACTGTGAAGGGGAAGGGAGTCAAGAGTAGAAACCCGATAATTCATCTAAATTGCTGGCTTACTCTAGTTATTGAGTATTGCATTGGTTATGGTTTTGGATTTGATGATAGAACTCATTGAAAAATATACATTAGCCGTAGGAAAATTGAAAATTTCATTGCTGAGGTATGTCACTTGAAAATTTTACCAGACCCAACTCCCAGTGTTACTTAGGCCAAACCTCAAGGACCAGTCGTGTTTGCCAAAGGGTTTGGCTTCACTCTACCCTCACCTTCTGACCTGGTTGCTAAGTATCATTTTTTGAATAATGAATTCAAATGTTATTCTTCAACTAACAGCAACTTGGTGGATATTTTATCATAAAAAGTGCAGGTCAGTTAACCATGCTTTGAGTGAAAGCAAACATTAATTAGGTAGTATATAATAATGATGAGGTGGGGCTTCTGGAGGGAATATCTGCATTTTTAATGCCTGCTCATTAGGAGATGTTAATGCTTTTTGCTTAGTTAACTTTGAAGTAAGTCCTGGTAAAAGTTAGCCATATCTAATACCTTTACTCCTTGTCCTTGATCTGTGTCCAATCCATAAGCACATTATTTGTATGCAAAATAGTTATTTGTTAGTCCTCACTATTATCTTATTTTCCTAGTAAAAAAGTTGATATCGTTGTATCTTGTATCTAGTATCATTTGAACCTATGTGCTGCATCTATTTCTGTGTTTGATTATTTGAATCAGATGGTTGCATGATATTTGGAAACTGTGTTTTATGTTTGCCTCTTGACTGATATCTTTATTCTATTTCATTCACACCTTAGAAGGTTTTCAACCAAATAAACCTAATCCTCTGTGTGCTGCTTGTTGATTTATGTTAAATTTGTACTCTGTTCTGCAGTTTATTGATTTATGATACAAATTCATCGATGTTTAGGAATCTTATTGGTTTAAGATCCATAGGGTAATTAGCTTTTTCCTTCATGAAAATTAAAATTGATTAGAGTTTGCCATTCATTGATGTGGAGGTGGTCTACTTGGGGTTGGAATATTTTGGCAGTGATTGGTATCCCGATATTTGCTCTGATAATATAGTTTTGAATACTAGTGTAGGAAATATATTTTGCATTGGAAGGCCTAGTTTCCAAAATTGTACTCTTGTTGATGTTTGCAAATGACCTTTTAAGATCTTTATCTATATCTTCAATGACCTTTTGTTCATCTGTAACTGAAGTTGACAGGAGTAAAGCTTTTGGTTTGATTTATCATACCCCTGTCTAATCAGGGAAACTGTTAGATTGTCTTTTAGTTTGGATATAAGTCTTTTTGGCAACCAAATTGTCCCAAAGTAAGTTTAGATAATTGTATTGCCTTGAAGATATGTAGCCAGGAAAATTCAGGTGACATTTTCTCTAATAAAACAAGCTTGATGCATTGTGCTTTGAAGGCTGAATCATTGGAGGTACTTGGAAAGTACAGAAAAAGTTGCATATTTGTTGCTTGTGAATGTTAATGTGTTGCTTAAAAAAGATGCAAATGAGAGAGGTCATGATTCTTTGAGACTCCTAATTAGTTGTCTAGATTTGCATTAGTTATTGCTTAAGCGTTCGTCATAAAATGTTAGCTATCTAATTTTTTAAATTTAGAATAAAATTTACCAATTTGGCAGTTACCCATTTATTTAGATAGACATTGGTTGGGAGAAATTGATGTGAATCAACGTCTTCAAAATTCAATTTTGTTTGTAAATAATACAATGAATATTGCACATGTTATATTAATCTTGAGTTGGATATTATTTATGTTAAATTTTGCACATTCTAAATTTTATATTACATCTACAATCACTTACTAACATAAGTACATTAACATATATGATATACCAGCTAATTTAGCTTAAGGTTTGTTTTAATTTAGACATATTTTGTAGTTTCAACTTTCAAGATATGTCTAAAACGTTACAACAATGTTATATTCATTTACATATAATTGTTAGAACCTTGGTGCCCCACATTTTCATTTTATATTTTAAATCCAAATTTATCTGTAATTCTGCTTATTATTAAGTGTACAAACTTACAATTCTTCCCTGCATATAAATACTTATTAATACCAACATAAAATGGAAAAATAAAAAAATTAACATCTAGTTTGTAATATCAATGATCCACGTTAGGGTTATTTCTTGATCTAACAGATGGTTTCCCAAACGATTTTTCAATATAAACCAAAAACCAAAAAATAAATAAATAGGGAGAGAAAAATAAAAATAAAAACAAAAACAAAAACCTTAAGTCTTTTTTTTTTTTTTCTTTTTCCTTTCAAATTTATCCATAATTACACTGTTGAAGGAGCTGCTTAAAGGATAAAGCAAAAGCAAAAGCAAAGGCCAACAATTTATCTTCATGAAAAAAAACGACAATTAATAGAATCCAATTAAATCTGGAAGATCATGTTTATGTTCAGGCACAAAAGGAAGAACATTTGGTGAATCTATGAATGGATTTGACGATCTTTCTGCAACATTTTCTTCTTCATTTACCTTCAAATCTTCGTCAAAAACTTCCCATTCATCGGTTATTATTGTCCTCAACTTTTGTTCTTGATTATCAACACAACTTTCATTTTCTTTCATCACCATGGCTTTCTCTTCAACATCATCATCATCTAAATCCGCCATTTCTGAGTCCTCTTTCTTCTTTAAATCTCCTTTATCATTATTCTCTGGAACGCCATTGATAAGTCTTTCAAGAACTCGAATATCTTCCTCTGGAACCTGTGTGACTTTCGGGAGCTCCAGTGTGTTTAAAATACCAAAATCTCTGCAAAACTCAAAATATAGAGACAATTCGTCGCCTTGTTCGGTTGCTTTCAAAAGAACTTTAAGCGCCAGGGCCACTTCGCCTTGCCCGGCTGAATATATCCTCATTAGAACCCGTGCAATCCCGTTGCAAATTCTGCTATAAACATCATATATTTCGATCACCACACAGTCCATGGCCTCGAGAATCAAAGTCACACGCATATTCTTCCCCAGCGGCTTGATTTGTAGCAATAAATCTAGCAAATCCTGCAAACTTTGCAGCTTATTCAACTCTTGCATCATTGGTTCCTCGCTTGGTTTACTTTGTTCATAAAAAAACGCCGATCTTTGATCCAAAAATGCATAATAAGCCCGAATAAAATTATTAAAACCCCACGAATTGCTCGTTCTTGAATGTCCATCACTGAAACTCGAAAGATCGAAGGGCAAACGTCCAATCCTTTGTACAGCCGGGATCTTACAACAAAAAACGCCATGCATGAGAATCAAACCCTTGAGGGCCACAACCCAACTCTTGGTTTTTTCCATACGTTTAGAGAGAGCCCATACTAGAGGCTTTACACTGAGAGGCGAATTTCGTAACCGCACTAAAACTCTCTGCGCATTTCGATAATCAACGTGCAATTCATCGTGGCTTGTTGCTTTGATAATTGCCGCTTCGAGGTCGGGATTACGATACGATGATTTTCTACAAAAACTCGCCGCCCAAATGCTGTTGCGGTCTTTGAGAAGACCCGCCGCTCTCTTCCACAGGCTCATCTCCTCATGTCTCTGTGTAATTAGCCCGGTAGTTTGTGAGATTTGGTCATTCCTTGTTGTTTCTTATCAAAAATAAATTAATGGACTTGTAAAGAACTCTAATTTGAACCCCAAAATGTAACAACAATATTGCCGTCCACTACTTAATTTATCATCATGTGCTGTACCCATAACTCTTGTTAGACGAGAATAGAATGTAATTTGTTTCATTTATTAATTTTGACTTTGTCATTTTAAATTTTAATACGCGTTGCAAGGTAGGCTTCATTTGACTCATCACTCAATAGTGGCTCTTCTTCTTGAGCTCACTTTTTCTCATTAAGTAATGGTATTATTCTTGTTCAATATTGGTTTTTTTATGAAATTCGTTCGTATTTGAAGAATTGGATTGTACTTCTGGTTACAGTTTCATTGCATCATTGTGGTTTATTTGATGCACAATTGTCACTTTTATTAATGACTTTCTTAAATTTTATTTAATTACGAGTTAAATGGAAATTAACTTAATATTAAATGTTGAAATTGAATTGTATACTATTGACACAATAAATACCCTAAAATCTAAACCTTCTTTAATTTAAAAGATTTATAAAACAAAAAATTGTGCAACTGAAAGCCCAGAAATTACTGAAATAAGAGAGAAATAGAACTAAAAGAAATAAATAAATGATAATAAGAAAGTACAAGCTATCTTAAATATAAACGTTTCTAATGAAAGCTAAACATGTGATATAACCCACACTTGTTTAGCTAAAAATTTAAAGCCTTTTACCATTGATCTACATGATCATTACAAGAGGAGAATCTTATACTTGATCGTAAATAAAACACTAAAATTAACAAATAATTGAATGTCTAAAAGTTTAAGAAAGATGGGGATTTCTTTTTTAAATATTTTTTTTTTAACATGAGAATGGTTTATCAACTTATTTCTTTTTTCTCAGTTTTGTAATAAATTAATTAAGAATTTATGAAATGTGAATGTATACTTAATTGATAACGTGATGCATTTAAATTTTCAAATAATTTTGTTATTCATGTTGGTGCAAAATTTATACCAACCAAAGTAATCTGATTGACCTTAGTAGAATCGAGCCCGATGTGTGTGTGATTAATTAAAATCAGCAATGTAATGAATATGAGTGCGTTAAAGTAAATAACACAAATAATTTTTAAAGTGGTTCAGCAAGTTATAACTTAAGCCTACGTCCACTGTTTTTCTTATTGCTTTAGAGAGCTTACAAGAATAATATTAAATGTCTAGAACAATTTGCTAACCCCTCTCTCGTCGTTGGAAGGGGTTTATATACACGTTTGTAAACAAGGAAAGAGAGAACTTATCGGGATTGCAATCAAATTCGAATTGCAATTCCAATATTCTCGTGATTGTGTGCTAAGATTGCGCCATCATTACTGTTGATCTGATCTCTTTTGAAATATCTGGGATTTGAGCTTATTTGTGATTTGTCAGACAATTTCCAGAGTTGGTTGCGACTAACTTATGTTGGGTCGAGCTATATCTCGACGAGCTTACGTTGGGTTGGACAAGTGTTGAGTCAAACTAATTTTGGGTCAAACTATATCCTCACGGGATTTTGACTTCTTCGAGCTTAATGAAAAAATCACATACAATATCTGCCCCCTAGTGTTCCTCGTTTCGAGCTTCAAATACTAATTGCTTGATTTGACATTTAGCTCGAACTTCACAAGTTATGTGCTATCTACAGATTTGGCCGAGCTTCGTGAGTCGGTCGTAGCTTCAGTTGACGTTAGCAAGACTTAAGTTTTTTGCTACAATATTCTTGATAAACTTGGAATTTGAAATGAAGGGTATGTAGGTAATTTCCATGTGGTGGGTCACATTAAATGCAGTCGGCTTTTGCAGTTACTTTTCATCGCGCGTGGGCGACTACAATTGTCCACGCGCAAAGTCGAGGTGATGTGTAATGACGATTATGATTGTAGAATTCTGACAGTTGATCGCCTTTTGTGGATGATTGACATGTGGACACATCGAGCGGTCAAGATTGCTATACGAATAGAGGGCTGATATTCGTCACAGATCAACGGTCGAGGTCGAATCCTGCCCTTTCGTCTCCCACGCTCACCACTATAACAACGGGCATTTTCATCAAAGTTGTACAGTTGCAAATATTTTCATACCTCAAAGTTGGTTGCTTTCTATTCTCCATCGTTGCTTCTTCAGACCTACAGCAATTTTCCGACGATGTCTCACCGTGTTTCACAGTCTGGTAAGGCTCTTGTTCTCATCCTTTTCTTTCTTTTAAACTTTCTTTGTCGTTGAGGGTGGCCATTGCTGTGGCCATGCTAGCTTTTTTAGGGTTATTTGAGTAGACCCACTGGTTTGGGTTTTAAGAGGGTTTAGGGAGGTGGCCGTTGGAATCTTGGTAGCTCGCTTGCACCTCTTCGTCGATGCGAGCTATCCTAGATGCCTAAACTGAAAGTAAGTGTGGATAGGTCGCTGATATTTTAAGCTTTGACACTTGATTTCTTCTATTTTAGGTATCCAAAGGTGTGCTACCACCATGTCTTCGTCCAACAGTCACAACATAGATCAACTTTTCAACTCCTCAGCGACCTCAACAATTCACGAGGGAGGAATCCTAAACAAGGTGTCTGAAGATATCATTGTGAAGAGCTCGAACAATGATGCAGCAGGTTCTTCGGACAATGCCTCTGTCGAGCTTCCCCCACCAAGGGGCTCACCAACCCTTAGATTTAGGAAAGAGCCAAGTTCCTCAATTGGAGTCAAGGATCTTCAACACATAAAAGATATTTATGTGACTCAACTCCTATTGAGGGTCCGGGAGATATCTCTCGAAAAGATCCCCCTAGAGGTTGGGCGGCTATTTGCTCCTTTCAAACTCATGGGGAACTCGTACATAATAATTGTAGGAATGTACATAGTATACCAGATAGCCGAATTAGGCGAGCTATCGGTAGATGAGCTTGTCCACTTGTATAGGTTAAAGAAAAGCCAAGATCAGATGTATTACCTCTCTAAAGAGAGGAAAGTACGCCTGAATGGTTTTGTCGGAGTCCCAAAGAAGGTTGGGAATTGGGACTCCTAATATTTCTTTTATGAAGTCAAGGAAATTGGTATTTTTGCCTCGGAGGCTAGTAAGTATTCTGATCTTTGTGTGAAATAGAGGGTTCTTTAGTCGAGCAACGAACTAACCCTACACTTTCTTTGTTTTATAGTAAACGTCGAGCAAAACTTTCTCTCTACTGCAAGCTGAGAGCAGCTTCAACATTTTAGCGGGCTTCCCAACAGCAAGCGCGACATTACCCAGCTCATCACACTTTCTCGCCTGATAGCGTACGACTTTTGCAACGGTGTTACAAAATTCTACACAATCTTTGAGAAAGGTTAAGTGTTTGATAGCTCGCTCTTTACGTTTCCCCTTTAGTAGGTCGCTAACAATTCTATTCTCTTTGTAGATATGTGGGCTGATAAGCCAAAGAACTTGAAGAGGAAGATGGCAGCTCACGGGGCTACTAAGAACTTGCCAATCATGTTGACAGAAAAGAAGTCTGTAGGTTTAGCCAAGGCGATTGAGGCAGGTTCCTTGCAGTCGACCCTCAAAGGAACTGATGGAGAGCTTGGGGAAGGCCCAAGTGCTAAGAAGCCTGCAACTGCTTCCAAGGCAGTTGCACAAAAAGAAACTCCCAAGCTTCACAAGGGCTCGATGAGGAAACACTATGAGCCAGAGGAAGGCTTAGGGAAGAAGAAGGTGACCGAGCAACAGGAGGGCTCGAGAAATAAGAAATTGACCGAGCAGCAGGGAGGCTCTCGAAAAAAGAAGTCGACTAAATAGTTGGAAGGCTTAGGAAAAAAAGCTACCAAACCCGTTGTTGGCTTGAAGAAGGTCTTGGTCAAGAGCGTGGCTAAGAAGAAGTTCGCTTCGACAACTGGGGCTACCATTCAGATCAGAAGTAGAGAGGGCTCGCCCCCGCGACGCGGAGAGGGAAAACAAACCGAGGCTGTGGAGGCTGATCTTGATAAGAAAATTAGCGAGCTTCTTGAGACTAGGCTTTGGAGCCTTTGCGGTCAGGGAGGCCGTTTAGGAACGGATTTATGAGATGCTCAAGGCTACCCCTCCCCACGAGTAGCTTGCTCGCCTTTGCAACTATATCACCAAGGTATGGGTAGCTCGCTTTTCTTGCATTGCTTCGAGGTCTTCCGCCCCCTCTTTTTTTTTTCCTTTTTTTTTTTTTTTTTAATTGCTTTGTCCTTTTTAAGCTAGCATGGTGACTAAGCCTCTTTTTTATGAGAGCTATCCAACCCTGGCGGGCAATCACCTGGGTTGGCAGGAAGTAGAGAAGGTCAAGGAAGATGCATGAAAATGAGTCGTTGCGAGCCAAGCTTGAGCAACTGAAGGAAATGTAGGCTGAGGCCCTCGAGGTCAAAGAGAGAGAGTTTCTTGAAAAACTCTCAACGAGCAAGGTTGCTCAACAAAAAGCTGAGAAAGACCTAGAATAGTAGCAAGGTGCCAACAATAAGCTGGCTTCTGAGTTTGTCGTGGCTCAAAAAGCTACGTTGAACTTGGAGGCCAAGTACTTGGACATCTTAGGCTAGCTCTTCCATGAGATGGAGAACAGCAAAGAGGTTGACGTAGAAGTTGTTAACCTCAAGAGAGAGGTTAAGTAGTTGAAAGTAGAGGTAAGAGACTATGCTTGGGATATGTCTGTCTACCTAGTTCAGCACTTATGGGAGGCTCACCCCTCGCTTGATTTCTCCTTTCTCCCTACCATCTATCGAAAAGAGATAGAGAGGACAAAGGCTGAAGTGGAGGGCTTGGAGTTTGTTTATTCAGATAGCTTCGAGTCCAATGAGAGCAAAGGCGATGAGGGAAACGACGAAGAAGAAGAGGTCGAGGTCAAGCAAGAGGTCGAGGACCAGACCCTTCCAGCTCTACCTTTGACTGTTGTCGGTGATCTTCCCCCGGGCGAGCCATCAAAAGACTCTTCTTAAGCTC